CGTCGTGAGCCTCAAGAATGGATACACAATTCAGCCGGATGTCACGTCGTGAGACACTCCCTCTCATGGCGTGACCAACTATAAATTCAGATTTATCACTCTTAATTAATTTGAAAATATTGAGGGCTCAAGTACCTGCATTAGATGTTACAAATCGCCCCCACTTAAATTAGATTTTGTCCTTGAATTCTGCCCTTACAAATCATTCTGCAACAGCTCGTCCTCTAAATTCCTTCCAAGGATCTTCCAACACCAATCATTTCTTGCTCGAACGATTACCACAACAAATGCTCGAAACTGCGACTAAAACCCAATGATTTCCAAAATCGGCACGTACACCAAATCTGAGAAGAGACTCCAACAAGGTCAAAATCATGCCCGTTGATGGAGAATGAAGATAAGTCCCAACTGGTCAACATATACTACCACACGTTCAAGTGTAGTAAAAGGACTCACCTTTCAACTAGCAACTAAACACCATAGCTCTCACTCAACAAATACCGATCCTATATGACACCTAACAGTAATAAAAGTTCATTTTCAATCTACGCCCCAAAACCCTAGTTTGACCTAAAAATTCAACCATGTTCAAAAAGCAAACAGTCACGTCATGACCACCCATAGATCACGTCGTGACTGAACCACAACAAAATAATTGTGAATGCCCTCTTCTTACGATGTGACATGCCATTTTCTCATGTCGTGAGATCTGTTCTGGAAAGATTTGAGCATTAAGATTCTAATCCCTTAAGATACTACTTAAGACATTCTAAAGGGTCTTCCCCAACACTAAGGACCATAAAAATCATAGCTTTTTAGCCATGCATGTCCAATGCATGACTTAAACACTAACTAGGTCAATAAGGAGAAAATGAGGCCAAGAACCATGATTGGAGTCTAAAACCAACACCAAAGCTCGGATCTAGAACTTATACTACTTAAAAGGCCGCAATGACCCATACAGTTGCTAACTTTATGGATCCCATGCATGCTATCAAACCTCACCATGAAGAGAAAAGAAAAAATTTAAGATTTATCATGCAATAGAGATAAAGGCAAGAGCTTTAGGACTTATAAAGGTCCAAAAGCATAGAAAGGTGATGAGGAAGGAACTTTCTTTCCAAAAGTGATGCACCCAAGGAGTCATCTTCTTCTAGTAAGAGCCAAAACCACCAAAAAGTTCTTCAAGGTCACCAATAGAGGCTAAAATCGATTTAGGCAGGTCGTAGGTGATGGAGACTAAGGGTTTGAAAACACTAGCCTTACACTTGCCTTAAATATGATGCAAAACATGGGATTAGGTTTAGCCCGCTCTCACGAGATGAACACCTATGTGTCACGTCGTGAGCCTCAAGAATGGATACGTGATTCAGTTGGATGTCACGTCATGAGACACTCCCTCTCACGCCGTAAACAACTATAAATTGAGGTTTATCATTCTTACTTAATTTTAAAATATTGAGGGATCAAGTACCTGCATTAGATGTTACGTCGTGTGTTTACACTCCATAACAAAATGGTGTTGTGGAGAGAAAATACATACACATTTTGAATGTTGCAAGATCTCTTATTGTCCAGTCTGGATTACCTTTGAAATACTGGGGTGATGTTGTTCTTACCTCGGTTTTCGTAACTAATAGGACCCTTTCATATATTTTAAAAGGTTTATATCCTTATGATATGGTTTATAAAAGGTACCCTAAATTTGATAACCTTCGTGTTTTTGGATGTTTGTGTTTTTCTACATACTTGAATAATAATGATATGTTTTCAGCTAGAGTTGGAAAATGTGTTTTTTAGGATATTCTTTGGAAAAGAATGGTTACAAAGTGTTAAGTCTTGACTCAAATTCTGTTTTTTATTTCCAAGGATGTCAAATTGTATAAGTTAGTTTTTTCTTTCAAAATGCAGATTCCTATTTTTGGTAAGACTAATGAAAATTCTAGCGGGGTTGATCCATTTTCCTATGATGAGCATGTTCAATATGAATCATATATTGATGATAGTTCCTTTAATAATATCTAGAGAATGGATCATTAGTTAGATGGTGCTAGTTCTCCTCTTAACCTAAATAAAACAGATACTACTCAGGATAGTTCATATACTACCTTTGGTTTTGGGGAGTCCTTTATGCCTTTGTTTTTCTGTTCTGGTCCTGACTCTCCTAATATGGTTCAGGAAACTAGTCAGTCTAATTCTGAGCCCCTTGGTTCTCTTTCAACTGGTGAAGCATGCTCTAAAAGAGAGTCTCGTCTTCCCTCCAAGTTTAGTGATTATGTTATATATGGTAAATATAAATATGGGATTAAAAAACTCTTAACTATTCCTCTTTGTCCACTGAAAGTAAGTGTTTTGTATCCAACTTAGATAAAATTGTAGAACCTCAGTCTTATTATGAAACCTCTCCTAATCCTAAATGGGTTAAGGCAATGAATCAAGAAATAGAGGATCTTTATAGCAATAACACTTGGGTAATATATGATTTACCTAAAGACATAAAACCCATTGGTTTTCATTGGATCTATAAAATTAAATACAAAGCTAATGGGGAAATAGAAAGGTATAAGGCTGATCTTGTAGCCAAAGGCTACAACCAAAGGGAAAAGATTGACTATGAGGAGACATTTTTTCCTGTAGCAAAGATTATTACAATCTGTATTGTTATTACATTGGCTATTAATTTTAGTTGGAATTTGTATCAATTTGATATTAATAATGCTTTACTTTATGGTTCTCTTGAAGAAGATGTGTATATGGTTTTACCTCCTGCTTATCATAGTAAAATGATAATAGAGTTTGTAAGTTATTGAAATCTTTTTATGGTCTAAAGCAGGCTCCACGAAAGTGGAATGAAAAATTAATTGATTCCTTGGTTAGTTTTGGTTTTAATCAGAGTCTTAGTGATTATTCAATGTTTGTTAAAAATGTTATAAATCGTACTGTGATTCTGTTAGTTTATGTCGATGTATTGTGTTAACTGTGAACTGTGAACTTGAAATTAGTAAAGTAAAGGAGTTTCTTAAGTCTCAATTTCTTATAAAAGACTTAGGTAAACTGAAGTATTATTTGGATATTGAAGTTGTAGAAGTTCCAAATGGAGTTTGTCTATCTTAAAGGAAATATGGTTTAGATTTACTTCAAGAATTCAGAATGTTGAGTTGTAAACATGTTAAAACTCCTCTTGAATGAAACTTGTAATTAATGATCATAATAGTGTTTTACTTGAAAATATAACTTACTTTCAGACACTTATTGGTAAGCTCATTTATCTTACAATTACTAGACCAAATATTGCTTATTCTGTTCAGGTTTTAAGTCAGTATATACATAAACCAAACAAGACTCATTTGCAGGTGGCTTTGAGATTTTTAAGATATCTCAAACGTAATCCTCGTATGGGAGTTTCTTTTTTGAATTTTGATATAATTCTCTTCTTCCAATAGGTTATTCAGATGTAGATTGGGCTAAAAGGTAGTTGTCTCGAATATTTGTTAGTGGTTATGTTGTTTATTTTGACAATTCTCTAGTGTCTTAGATAAGTAAGAAGTCGTCCACAATATCTCATTCATCTACTGATTCAAAATAGGGCTCTTGGTTCTCTATCATGTAAGTTAATTTGGGTGTTGAAGGTATTGTGTGATTTGGATTTAAAAGATATAGTTCCTATAAATGTTTTTTTTTTGTGACAATGAGTTTGCAACTAAAATAGCTTTAAATCCAGTTTTTCATCATAAAACCAAACACTTTGAAATTGATGTTCATTTCATAAGAGAAAAAAATTCAAAAGGTGTTATAAAGTTGGTTAATATTAGTTCATCTAATCAAGTGGCTGATATCCTCACCAAGCCTCTTGTTTCTTCTCAGCATGATGATTTGTGTGAGAAGTTGTGTTTATTGGATCCTTTTTCTTCTTGATAAGTTTTTTGTTGGTTCAAAATGGTTAGTTTGAGAGGGGCTGTTAAAATTAATAAGTACTTATTTGTCAAACTAATATTTTTTCTTATATAATTCGTAAAGGTCTTTCTTGCATTTTTTTTTATATTTCGCTATGTGCAGTTTATGTTTGCCATTGTTCAGGGGTTCAAGTGTAGTTTTGTTAAAAGTTGTTCGGGTTTGTGCACGGGTCTTCAGGCATTCTTGACCCAATGTATTTAAGTGTTGCAGTTGTGATTTTCTCTCATTATTAGAGTCATTTTCAAATCTTTTGATATGTTGTCTTCATCCCTCTCAGTAGCTCTCATTTGTTTAGTAAAGTTTATTTTAGGTATTGTAGTCTAATAAGTATTTCTATCTAGTTGTTTAATTAGTTTAGGATTTGTTTTCCTATCTTTTATCTTTCCTTGTATTCATAGTAAGTCACTATAAATATGGTGCACCATAGCTGATTTATTTTTATCGATTAATAAAATTTAGTCACCAAAGGGCTTCTAGCCTAGAGGTATCAGGTGACGCCCTCCCTTTTTGAGGTTGAGGGTTCAAGTCCCGGCGTGAATATATGTGGAATTAGGTGTTAGTTTAGGAGTAGATTAGATTTCCCGGTTAAAAAAAATTAGTTTTGGTTGATCACCTATTCTCAAACATAGGTATCAAAGATTTTATTTTGGTAGCAATATTTTTACTAAAGCACTATTCACAATGTATTGTTTTATTAAGCCACTGGTTTCACTAATTATTGTTCATACATCTATTGTTCATGTTTTTACTACTGATGGGAACGAAAACCAACAACACATATTGGATCACCAATCTGGAGACTGATGTGGCTAAGATACGATAGGAAGCAACAGGTAGCCGGATGGAAAGCACAACAGGAACTTTTGCAAGCAATAAACAGGTTGAAGGAAAACTCGGGAACCGGAGGCAAAAAGAAGAACTTAGAACTAAAAATTGGTTTTGGTTCTTTTTCTCATGATGAATGAGAGGACGTATCGGGGGGATCTCTCAAAAGCAACATTAGAGGGAGGCCTAAGGATCCAATGTGAGATCTCAGGAAGATTAAGATGCCGATTTTTGATGGGGACGATGTCTATGGTTGGATCTACCAGGCTGAAAGATATTTTGATATCCATGGGATCGAAGAAAAGGATCAAATCAAAGCCATCGCCATCTACATGGAAGGGAGGACAGTTTCATGGTATCACTGGAACGAAGAAAGAGCTCCATGTCACTCTTGGGAAGGATTCAAACGCAAGTTACTGGATCGCTTTCAGGAGTCACAAAAAGGTGGCATATATGAACAATTTTTGAACATTCAACAAAAGGGGACCATAACGGAGTACATAAGCAAGTTTGAAAGCCTATACGACCAACTACTCGATCAATCGAAGAAGGTTCTTGATGATAACATTGTCATATGATTATAACAAAGAGAAATTACAAGGGTTCTCAGAGAAAAGCATAAAGACTACAAGGAATAAAGCGGATATAAATACTAGCTAGACAGAAACCCTAATGGGCTAAAGACAGAAAAAGGGCCCATAAACAAGCGGGCTAATAATATATAGACTAACATCCCCCCTCAAACTCACAATGCCGCAGCAATAAGCATTGAGAGTTTGTCACATAAGAACCGAAACCGAGAAGCCGATAAAGCCTTCGTAAAAATATCCGCAAGCCGCAAGGTTGATGAAACAAATGGAAGCGAAATGGTCCCAAGCTGCAGGTGATGACGAGTAAAATGACAATCAATCTCAACGTGCTTCGTCCGCTCATGAAAAACAGAATTCTTCGCAATTTGTATCGCACTTTCATTATCACAATGCAAGGGAGTAGGTGAAGAAATGTGAACTCCCATATCCGCAAGCAGCCACCGTAACTAGATAATCTTGCTGTAGTTACAGCCATAGCACGATATTCAGCCTCCGTGGAAGATCTAGAGACAACATCCTGTTTCTTGCTCTTCCATGAAATAAGAGACTCTCCAAGAAATACAAAAAATCTAGTGGTAGACTTACGATCATGACGATCACCATCCCAATCAGCATCACTATAGGCACGTAACTCAAGAGAAGACGTCGAGGGAAACAAGAGAGTCTGAAACTGAGTGCCACGAAGATATCTCAGAATACGAAAAACAGCTCCCCAATGAACAGAGGTAGGTGCAGTAAACAAACTGACTGACAACATGAACAACATGAGCAATATCTGGACGAGTGACTGTGAGATAAACCAAACTTCCCACCACAGTGCGATAAAGATTCAGATCAGACAAAGGAACACCATCAGTAGGAGAGTATCGTGTATTGGTTTCAAGAGGGGTAACAACAGTCCGATTGTCAGAAAGTCCCGCCCATGTAAACAAGTCAGATATATATTTAGTCTGGGAAAGAAGGTACCCTTTCTTAGACTGAGCGACCTCAATACCCAAGAAGTAACGCAGCAAGCCTAAATCCTTCATAGCAAATCTACGAGCTAGATCATGCTTCAAAGACTCAATACCACCATGCTCATCACCTATAATAATCATGTCATCCACATATAAGGACAGAAGAATCCGTCCTGCACTTGAGCATCTAACAAACAGAGCAGAATCGTGATTACTCTGGACAAATCCAAGAGAGGTAATCACTGTGGAGAATTTCTCAAACCAAGCACGAGGGGCTTGCTTGAGCCCATACAAAGCTTTGCGAAGCCGACAAACCTCGCCCAGTCGGTGCTGAATTCCTGGAGGAGGGGTCATATAAACCTCTTCATGAAGGTCACCATTCAAAAAGGCATTCTTGACATCCATTTGAAAGATCTTCCACTGTCGAACGGATGCAACTGCAATCATAGTACGAACTGTCGTCATCTTTGCAACTGGGGCAAATGTCTCCTCGTAGTCAAAACCATACTGTTAGGAATACCCTTTTGCTACAAGTCTAACCTTATATCATTCAACAGAACCATCAGCTTTTGTTTTTATCTTGTACACCCAACGACAACCTATCGTATGTTTCCCAGGAGGAAGAGAAACCAAATCCCATGTATGAGTCTGATGAAGAGCAGTGAGTTCTTCAGCCTTAACATTTTGCCAAAGAGGATCTGAAACAACTTCTCTATATGATTGTAGTTAAATCCTACTGGGACAACAAAACAAAACAAATATTACAGTAGTTAAATCCTACTTCTCTATATGATTGTAGTTAAATCCTACTTCTCTATATGATTGTAGTTAAATCCTACCAAGCACGTGCTCTTGGCGACATTGTAGTTAAATCCCACTGGAACAACAAAACAAAACTTACAGCAACATTCTTGATCCGTTTAGTGTTGTATCTGAACCTTCGATCTTCAAAGATGAGAGTAGGCAAACCAATATCAGCTTAGAAGTGATTATAGAGATGTTGAAGCACGAAAAACTCGATATTTGTTTTAAAATATGGTATCAAATGTAAGTAATTTAGTTTTTATAGTATTACAATTTTCACATTATTGTATCAATATTATATACATTGTTGTCTTTTTGGGCTGATATATTCGCCGATGCTCACATCAAGAGTGAAATATTAATGTCAAATAACTACTCGCAGATGTGATGAGTATTCAAAAACACAAATTTCAAAAAAATCACAATTGTCTTAATTGTTTATTTCTCTATTTTTTCATTGAAACTTCAAAAATCACTATAACAACAAATAAACAAATAATTAGCAACAAATTAAAATCCAAATAAAAATACAAGCAAATGAAAAATGATAGACCTAGTTTGTCATTCACTTTTATAGCTAACAAAATGAGAGATACAATGATAGTTAACATATCACTTAATCACAAATTATGAAATGAAATAGTAAACGATCCACTCTTTGTAGAGTTGCAACAGTGCTAACTTTGCCATTAAAAAACCATTTCACAATTCACAATAGTACCTTTTCATTTATCTAATAAGTTACTAGACAATTTTGGACATTAAAAATCAAACCAATTCAAGATAAACATCAAAAGAATTCACATTTAAAAATACAATTTATAACTCAACTTGGATTACATTGCCATTCACATTTAAGATAACTCTAATAGTCAATTCACGTACTAAAGTGAAACATCCCAAAAATACAGACCAAATATTTCTTTTTAAAATCATTTAAGAAAACCATAATTCATCAAACATCACAGTAAAAATCATAAGTCATGTATATCAAATTATCATAACAAAATACTATATCAAAATCATGTGTCAAAATATCATAGCAAAAACATCTCAGGCTGAACAAATGGTGTGTGCACTACAATCATCCCGAGCTCCTCCTTTGAAACCGAAGTACCTGAAACCAAAACTGAAAACTGTAAGCACGAAGCTTAGCGAGTCTCCCCAAGCTACCACATACCACACACAAAATCACATACCAGGCCTAGCCCACCGCATCGGGCCCCGCACGGCATCAGACGAATCCGACATTGGGCCCTGCCCGACATCAGACCGAAGTCCGGAATAACTTGGGCCTAGCCCACTGCATTAGGCCCCGCCCGACATCGGAACGAAGTCCGGCATAACTTGGGCATAGCCCACTGCATCGGGCCCCGCCCGGCGTCGGACCAAAGTCTAATATACATAGCATATCAACAAGCATAACATAATCAAATAAAAGCTAAACATCCCTCGGTCTTGCCTCGGCATCGGACCGAAGTTCGGAACACATAAAACATAACATATAAGCTAAACATTCCTCATGCTCTCCCCAACATTGGACCGAAGTCCGGAACACATAGACAAACACATGCAAGAATCACAAAGACATCAAGCATACTAACATTCCTCGGGCTTGCCCCGACATCGGACCGAAGTCCGGAAACATACCATCTACATCGGGCTAACCCCGACATATAATATCACACATAAACGGGCCGGCCTTGGTGCCTTAGACCCGTTCCTATAGAAGAAGACTCACCTCACACTATTGAAGTCCCGCTAACAAAACCCTAGCTGCTAGATGACAGATTCCGGAATCTGTCAACATCAAAATAACACCCAATTAATAATTAGGTCCCCAACACATATCCATAAGTCCATGCTTGGGGTCAAAGACTACTTTACCCCTAACTTAGCTTTTCTCAAGCTCAATGCCCAATCCAAAGGCCCAAAAGTCCAATAATGAACCAAGGCCCAACTATCGCCTAATTTTCCAAATTGGGCCAAAACCTCTACATGGTCTTGCCTTAAGGCCCAACCATTTAGTCCAGAGCAAACATTTGGCATTCTAATGACCCAATATCATATAACCATCAAGGCCCAAACTATGGCCCATCTATGGAAAATTGGGCCCAAACCCTCATATGGGCCTTACCCTAAAGCCTATCTAAATATTCTAGTTCATATGATCATTCTTAGATGGCCCGTTATTAGCCCAATTACTAAAATCCAATAGAAAGGCCCAACTAAGGCCCAAGTGAAATTAGGGTTTCACATAAAATGACAATTAGGGTTCAGTGTTGCACTCTACTAGATAAATCATATGGTGTGATTGGGTGTATTTCACAATTCCATTCCAATGGCTGAAATATGGGTCCCGATACGTCCAAGGCCCATATATCCAAATTAGGATTTTCTAAACCCTAATTAGGGTCTCTAACCCCTTACAACCCAATTAGGCCCAAAAGTTAAGTCCTTAGGCCCATTAGGGTTTCACAAGTTGGGCACCACCCACTACCCCCTTGGGTAGTGGTGGTCAACGGCGGCTCACGGCGGCGGCCACCACCTCACGGTGGTGGTTAGGGTTCTAGTCCAATCGAGTCCAAGCACTCCAAAATAAATCCAAACACAAACTAAGCACACCGCCACCCAACACGACGGCCGGTGGCGGCAGGAGGCGGCAGCCACCACCCTACGGTGGTGGTTTTGAGTTTTGTTTATTATTCTTACACGATTACAATCATACAAGCTTGTAGAAATCAGGATTAATCGTAGATTAATCGCTTGGCATTCTCTAACCGATTAGGATTAGGGGTGTTTGGAGGTAATTGGTCAATTTCGGTCAACGACGGCCTTGGCGGTCTTGGCGGTCAACGACGGTCAATGGAAGTCAAAATTAGTCAAATGTCAAAGGTGGTCAAAATAAAAAAAATGGCTCCAAAGGTTAATTTCGTCTAACCCTAGCATCTCATTTCCTCGTGTCGCCGTTTTTGTCACTTCTCAGTTCTCTCTCAATCGTTGAAGCAAAGTAGGAGGTTACACCGGCGATACACCTGAAGCTGACACCCACCAGACTCTGGCGAACCTCCACTGGACATCGTCGAACCTCCATTGGATGCCGGTGAACCTCCAGCAAACAGCTACTCTGACGAAGCTTCATCCTTCAGTCTTCAGGTATGCGATTTCTTTTTATGATGGCAGCGAACTCGTGTTTCTTCCTATTTCTCCCATCTAAATTCGTTTTTC